AACATTACCCAACAAAATGTGATGAAAAATTTATTTCACTGAGGGGAGAAAAAAAGTGTCACAAATGCTTCTATTTCATTTGTGAAATTATGTACAATTTTGCATTGCAGTATTTCTGTGAAGACACTAATTAGAATTCAAAGACTTGTTTTTCTTAAGTACTGTATGAACTAAGATCTTTCAGGCCCAAAGCACTTACTACTTTGTTAAAGACAAGGTCACATGTAAAGGTTGTCAACTTCAAACAAAGCAAAAGGGGAGATGATTCTGTTATGTTGGATAAAATGGACACAGCCAGGTGGTTCTTAATAATGTAAAAGTAGTGGGTAACAAAAAAAGTCTTTGATGGTATAAGAATCATGAACAACCATAGAAGTAAGTTTTCAAACCACAGTGTTGATCTGATCAGCTCTGTAATCCTAATGGCAAAAAACCTGATGAGCTTGAAGAAGCAGAAAACATGTAATAGAGAAATGCTGTAACTTTGGAGGGGAAAAAATGTAAGTGTAGCTCAGGACAAAGATTCTGTTTACCTTTTTTTCTGGCTTCTTGTTACGGTCTTAAGTATTTTTCTGTTTTTTAAAACTTGAAAAGTATAGCAAAATTCAGAAGGGTTATTGTCTGTCCTACTTGGATTCCATGGGTTGGGAAGGGAGCAATAGTGTAATTACCAGCTCATGGCACTTCTCAATTGCTTTTGTCATCAGGTGAATGTGAGGGCTGAAGCAGCATTTGCTTAGCTCCTTTCTGACAGTCCCTGTGCAGGTGCACTTTGCTGCTTTGAACTGCACTCCTGAGGAAAGTTTGAGGTAAAAACTATTCAGGCAAGTCAGTTGACTTTTGTGAAAATTGTACAGGTCCATTGATTGGAGACTGTTTTCTTCTTGGGCACACACCATGTCCATGGCTAGAAATGGTGACAGTAAAGGACAGTGCTGGTCAGAAGGTTTGGGCCATCTGATATCTCTGATACTTAAGAAAGCCTTGTGGGGGAAAATAATGAAAGAATACAAAGTTAAAAGAGAATTGTGAACCACGAGGTATATTGTAATCTGAAGTAAGTACAATGCTGCTGTACTACTCCAGTTTGGCAAATATCAATTTGAAGGTAGTAAAAGGAAGAAACTTTGGAAATATTTTAAATTGAGTATTACCATGTTGTGGTAAGATTACAAGGCTTTTTTCCAATTACCCTAGTAAAGCCAAAGATTAGTGCAAATATTGCACTTTACTAAATATATTTAGTTGCAAGCAATTTTATTTTCTATTCAAAATTCTATTAACTGTTTAAAGTAGAATTAGTTTTCTTAAAGTATGAAGGGTTTTATGGTAAATAATGAAAATGAAAAGTTCTGTTTCCTCGCCTGTGTTTCAGTTTTAAATTTAAATGAAACTATTCTTATACTAATGATCTATGTCAATGAAACAGACATGAAATGTAGAATAGAGCAACATGAAATTTAGGGTTAAAAAAGGCAATGTTACAAAATGCTTGTTGTCTGAGATGTATAAAAATCAGATACAGAGCAGAGTGGATAATATGGGGAGCTAAGTTTAGCTGTGTGACTTTTCAGTTTCATGAGCCTAGGCCTAGGAAATTTCTGATAAATTCTCTTACAGTCTTAACCTCTCTTATACTTGGATGCCTGTCTGTGAAGGCAAATTGGTATAGCATGAAGTGCTTTGTTTGATTATGGAATATTCTTGCAAACTCTGGAGTATAGTACCTTAATTTTGATAATGAAAGGGATTTTCTTTTGAGAACCTGGGTTCCTCTAGAATTTTAAATCCTGCCTGTTAGTGAGATTTAATTTAATCCCCTGAGTATTTAAGAAGCATTTCTGAGAATGTCACCAAAAAGTAGCAAGATTAGCACTTGCAGTTTATTGACAGGATGCCTCATAGCAAAGACATTTATCTGTAAGGGTATTGTTTTTAAAAAGCAATAAAATCTGTCTTAAGCTCTGGGAATATACACACTTTCCAAAATACAGAAAGTATAGAACAGTTTCTTTTTGTACAGCTCATGGCACAGGACGTAGCAGTTTACAGAGGAAAGAATTGTGTGTTGACAAAACTACACAGTAACTGATTTCTGATCAGATAAAAATATAAGGGCTTGAGGATTAAGGAAGTCTTAACAGTCCCTGTCATAGATTGAATTCAGGCATGTTCAAAAGTAAGTAATTACTCAGCAATAAAATGGCATCCTTACGTATATGCCAGTATCCAAATATATGTTGAAGAATGACAGAGGTTACCAGAGGGTTTGTTGTTCTTTCTAAGTTTAAAAAATCCAGGAAGAACTAAATCATATCTTGTGTTCTAAAATTCTAGCATGTGAGACTGCTCAATCTTTTTGTCTGCTGTAATATTTTTGGGAAGTTTGTGATTAACTGGTCATAAAATCTTGTCTGCCTGAGCACATCTTTACTAATCCTGTGTCCATCTCAACAAACAAATGCACACTCTGCTGTATTGATTCTGCTTTCACATACCCCAGTGTGGTCCAGTTCCCATCAAAGTATTTCCTTCCTATATATAGCACAAATAGAAGAATAATAAGATACTTTAATCTTATTTTATCTATGGACTATGCACTGAATGACTTATTGAAAGCTGTTGTGATTCAATGGAGATGTTTTTAATTTGCTGCCTGTTCTCTTTACCTCTGAGGAAAGAATTTTGTAAATGTTGAATAATTTTAAAACATGTTTTCTTAGTTAAGGGTTCCATCATATTTTAAATTAGTTTTAAGAGGAAGGAAATAGTGTAAATGCTGTGGAATTCAGATAAGCACTGTGCATAGGAAAGTAGTGCTTGAATTTAAAGTGCCTAGACTTGGTAGGTCAAGCTGATCATAATACAGGACCAGATCTTAAACTTTTTTTTCAGAGACATGTAATCTCTATTCTCTCACCTGTTTTAATTCGTTTTTACTTGAGAAACTATTTTGAAGCTGAAATGTGCAATTGCTTAAGTATTCCACAGGGTGTCATGAGGTAGTTGTTGGAATCATTAATACTTGGATGGAAGTAAAGAAGCATAGTGTGCAGTCCTCTGAATACCAGTTAATGTAATTTTATATGTGACTAATACACGTGCTATAAAATAAAAAGTTCTTAACTCATTAACACATGTATCTTATTTCTGTATCTGTGTAAAATATACACACACAAAAAATATTATGAGAGGTCATTTACAAGAGTGAGCTATTCTCTCAGGTCTTCTATATATATCTTGATCTTGTATAGTTTACAGAGCAAGTGGAATCTTTGGCTCATGTAAACTATGAATATAAAAAAGAAAAAAGGTACAATACTTATTTTGCCATAGTTATATAGAATTTCTAATTGAAATGTGCTCCTCCAAATTTATTTTCAATCTTAATTTTACTTTTATTTTCTTCTAAAATTTATATTTATTGAAATTATGTGTATACAGTGCAAGCAGATGTACTGTGGACTTTATGATTTGTTATTATAGACATATGTGATGTCAAAACTTAACTTCAGACTGTCCTTCCTTCACTTGAACAGTGTAGTAGGACGACAGTTTTTACCAAAACATGCCCCAAATTAAAGTGTGCTTGATTATGGTGATATATTTTTGCATATGGAGACCAAATTTTTCTTGACATAACTGTTGACTTTTGCATGCTGCATGTGCATTGAATTCAGCTTCATATGTGTAAAACAGCTTTTAAATACAGTTTAACAGTAATTGGGAAGGATCCTGCATCTGTTTAAATCTGAATTGCTTTAAGTGGAAATGACATTGGCCATGAGAAAAATTACATTACTTTATGAAACGAACAGCAAAACTTCCTTTCTTTCAGTGGCAACAGAATATGATCCAAAGTGTAAAATCACTGATGAACGTAAGAATTTGAATCTCTCTTGACCTTAATAATTTGTCTAATTTTAATAGCATATATAAAACCAATTTTGAAGACAAATATACCTTATGGATTTGGGCATATTTATTATATTACATAAAGTGCTATACTAAAATAATAATTAATTTTCTTGATACTGTTTATTTGTGCTAAGTATTATGCAACAAATGTTGGGTTTATGCCAGTGGCATAATAGTGAGTGGCACTAAGAGCAGAGGATGCAGGGAGGTTGACTCTTCTGACAGACAAATAACAACATTTTACACATATGATATTCCAGATGTACTCTGCATTATTCCTAGAAGGTCATAGTGCCTTACAGCCACAGGTGATTACCATGACAGTCAGAAGCTGAGTGCTTTTATTCAGATTTGCTTGATCCCGTGGAACAACTGTTTGTACAAAGCTAGACCAGTTCAAAGCAGTTGCAATATCCAAAAATAGAGCAACATTCCTTGAACCTTAATGGAAAGGAAGAATGTGAACAGAATGGTGGCATTTGAGCTGTTGCATTGTTTGGTGGTTATAGTTTTTGGTTGTTTTTTTCTCTTCCTCCCCCTGCCCCCCGTTTGTTTGGTTTGGTTTGGTTTTGGATTTGGCTTTTTGAGATATAAACATCCTGATCTCTGTCCAGGTGAGTTTTCTTTACAGCAACAGCATCGTGGAAGAAGAGATTTTTAGGCAGGTTATACTCTTTCTTCTTCCTCAGTTTAAGGTTCCCTGCGTCTCCCTTTCTTTGTCTGTCTTATTGCAACTGGGATAATCTAAAGGGGTAATTCCACACATACTTTGAATTACTGAGATAATGCAGTACCTTAATCAAGAGTGATTAATATCAGAAAATATTTAAATAATACCTGACTACACTGAGGTTTTTTCCTATAATTTATTAGGAAATTATACTTTTTTTCTGGCTAAAGAAAACAAAGCATAAAGGACAAATTAAAAACTCTTGATATGATACCATGTAAAACTTGGCAGTGTACTGAGGCGTATGTATCATATGTGTGATACCTATACATTCAGTTGATCCTAGCACCCAAATCCCTCTTTGAATGTTAAGACCAGGTTGATGAATATTATGATTTGTTTATATTTTCAGATTGAAAATCTACAGGAACAACTCAGAGACAAAGACAAACAACTGACTAATCTGAAAGACAGAGTGAAGTCATTGCAGACGGATTCTAGTAACACAGACACAGCACTAGCAACCTTAGAAGAAGCTCTGTCAGAAAAGGTAATCTTTTATCATGGAACCACAGGTGATCTAACACCTGTAGCAAAGCCTGTGGGCCTTGTCACAAAGCAGGTGGCTCTGTTCTGCTAGGATGAGCGAGGAGTGTTCCTGGCTGCTGACCTGGAACAGGGCTCTAAGGTAGAGGTGGATGTCCTTTTAAATGGGGATGGCCTACCAGTTTCAGTGAGATCAGGGTTTTTCTTCCAGTTAACTTCAAATATGAGATAATCCAAGTGAATTTACATGCCAAAAAGTAGTACAAGCATCCACTTTTTTTTTTTTTTTTCTTTTTTTTTTTTTTTTTTTTTCTTTTTTTTTTTTTTTTTTTTTCTTTTTTTTTTTTTTTTTTTTTCTTTTTTTTTTTTTTTTTTTTTGCATTTTAAGGTATATAACTTAAATGTGCACAGATGAATGCAACTAATTAAAGTATTATGTGCCATTCTGCAGTGTGTAATCCTAGGAAGGTATTTAGGACTGTATGTGACTGTAAAATGCTATTGTGGCTGTGGACACTAACACCTGAAATGCTAATATTGGATTTTAGATTTCTTTGTTTAATCACTAACATTTGCTTGCTCATCAACTGTGAAAAATATTGGCATTATTATTACATCTGTAGCTTCAGATGGGTAAGCTTTACAGCATTCATGCAGTAAAGAAAGTGCATACATTTTATTTATATTTCACTGCTAATCTGGGTACAGTGCTCACCAATCTCACATCATACATACATGAAGTACTTTTGAATCTGTTTTTCCTTCATGTACACTGTCTTTTCTGGATTAGTCTCTGTTGCCACTTTCCCAAAATGCCCACACAGCTGAGAATTAAAACACACTAACCATCATGCTGCTGTTGTCAATGTAGAAAGCAGAGTGAGTGTAACACCGCAAACTTCCCAGTTCTCCTGTGCAACTGAGCATGAAGCAGTTAGCCAAAAGCCAAAGAAATCTTGTATCTCATTTTCTGCCTCAGCTGTATCTGCAGTGCTTCAGAGAAAATGCACTTATGCCCTATTTAGCTGGGGTGATTTGCTGAGTTACAATCTGTCTTCAATGGTCATGCATTTCTTTGTTGAAAATGTTAATGTCAGTTTGCCACGCTTCATAGTAGAAGCAACAAGTGTGGAGGTATTGAATAGAACGTGTACAGTTGTCTTCTCACTGCAAGAAATGTGAAAGGCTAAGAAGTACTGGGTTAATGCCTAACCCAAATTAATGAGTGGCAATTAGTTGTTTTCATGGCATTTTGTACCAGTACCATTCTAAAATCTGTTGAAATAAATGTAAACTGATCCATAACTGTAAAGGGGTTAATAATTTTGAAGTTTTGTATGTATCTAAAATGAAAATGTTCTATTATTCTCAGTCACACAAGGTGTGACATACTACCAAACTCAGGATGTATGATTTTAAAAAATATTGTAGTGAGGACTCTTCTCAGGGGCTGTGCTATAGAATTTCTTTGAAACGTGACAACAGTAGAGACCCTGAGGGTATGAAAATTTTGTATCAAGGTTAATTTGCTGACTGTAATAAAGGTTCAAAGGCTGATAAATGATGCTAGTTTTAATGTTTTGGAAAAACTAGATCCTTTTCTGAAATGTATTTTGCAAGTAATGTCTACTTGATTTGGAATTGTGTGGGTATATATGAACAGATACAGTTTTTTGTAGAATCAGCGTGATGATTTTTCCAAGTTGAATTGATTAGAACTCATGTGGAGCCCCTAAGGTTGAATCCTGTACAAAATACTCATTTATGTACAGTTAGCTGAGAATGGCATCTTTCCTGCAGTGTTTGCAGGCTACTTTGAGTCCCCTCTACAGTGACTCTGATGGGATGTTTTCCTCTGCCACAGAGATTTCAGTCTTTTTGCAGCTGATGAAGGCCCTGGGATCTGCTGTGAACCCATGTTGCTGGGAAGTGGTGTGAAGCTGGGTTGTGCTGTGGTGTCTGGTGACTGTTTCAATTGCTTATGGAGAGATTGTTACTTACAAAAGCTAGGTGGCAGGATATAAAGGGAAGAACCCTGCATGTAGGTGATAATGCTTATCATTCCATATTACTTCAGAAATACTACTTTGGTGATCTAAAGAAAAGATAAGTAGAATTATAAAATAATAACTTTTTTCTAGAAATGAACATTATAACTGGAAAGTGTCAATTATTTTATGACATGCCCAAATAATTATGCAAATTAGTGTCTGTGTCAGGAATAGGAACACATGGCTTGAATTTTAACAAAAAAAATTATTTTGTTTTAAATTCTGTTATTTTCTTATGACTCTTCTGTATTTTGAGAACTTAATTAAATTATGAAATCATTAGTATTTGTCCAGTTTCTGAACAAATACAGAACAGTATAGCTCCTACACAGTTACTCAATGCTTTACAGTGACTGGAAGTCTAGAAAGCAATATTTATGTTAAACTTTAAAATCTAGAATATGGAATATCAGTTCGAAAATACATGACCCTGCCCTTTAATTTCATTAGCTAAATTTGTTTATGAGAGAATGATGTTATAAACATTCAACTTCATGATAATTCTGATGGATTTTTTTTGTTTGTTTTGTTTAATGTGTGACCACTTTGTCATATTGGGAAATTTTTTTACAGCTGGAGAATTCTTAGTATATTAGATTAAAAAAACAAAAGCAGCAGTGCAGAGTAGAATTAATACGAGCTTTTGAGAAACAGGGAACTTGATCTTAGAGCATTAGACACAACAAGGAGAAAGTTTCCAAGCATCTCTCTGTATGATTTTGATGTACAGAGATATCATGCACTTCTTTCCATTGCCAGTTTCTTGAAGGCCACACTTAGGAGGGTAGGTTTTCTGCCTTAATTGTAGTCTCTGGGATCTACATTGAAGGAAGCCAGTAGGCATCTTGTAGAAGTTCATAATGAAATATTATGTCTAGGTTTCTTGTGTCTTTTGGCAGCTAAATAACTTATCACGTCTCTTATTCCTATTTGTGTCCAACTTTCCAGTTCATCCTCATTGCTCTCAGTGAGTGATCTTACTGGTCCCTGTTTCTGTCTGCAGTAGCATTCTTAAGACTATATCAATGGTTATTAACTTTTTCCACTGCAAATACTGGTAGAGATAGAGAACAGATTTTTGTTCAAATGAGAAAAACCAAGAATCCTTGGTGATAGTTTCTTATTAAAAAATGCATCAATATAAGTATTTTTAAATAAACTTTAATTTGTAATGCTTTCAAGAAAGGATGCAGCTTTCATTCAAGACCAGCTCTTCATGGAAATAGTTTGTATGCTTTTTGTTCTTTTTCTGCTATATCCTCTTGTTTTTATACTCTGAGATTAGGCAGTTTCTGTCTTTACCTTAAGTTTTGTCAATTCCAATAGTTTTTTAAATGTAATTTATAAAATTATGAAGAAAATACTTCAGATGCTCTTTTAAAATAGAATTTAAATTTATTTAGACTAGTTTAGTTTTAACTACAATTTAATTGCTTTTCTTAGTTTCTATGGGGAGAACATAGTATTAAAACCTGATCATAGGATATGAGTAAATTATGAAGTTATTTTTAAAGTCCAAAACTCAGACATTTGAGCATTTATGTTTTTCCTGCATTGTTCTTGAAAGTACTCAGATTGAAATTTTGGCTCTGAATTTGAAAATATGGCTCCTTGTTCTTCATGGAAATAGATTTTCCAAGTATCTGTCTCTGATTTTCTTTCACATTTAGGGATGAGGTAGCTTGGTAACACTAAATGAGAAATTACTGTAAACACCATAAAATGGTATAAAAATTTCCTGAAATGGATTCCTTGTAATGTTTGTGATTTTCCAGCAATATTGCTGATGTAATTTGTTGTCTTGTCAGGAATCAGAAATGAACCAGCACAACTTTAGGTGTTAATTCAGCTAAGTTCAGAGCCTCTCCTAAGCACTGAAAACTCTTAACAATAAGGGTTACATTGCAATGAACAAAAGATAAGTTTACTCCTATTAAAAAGCCAAAAAAAAAAAAAAAAGTTTGTAAATCAGAATATGCAAAGCTGCTATCAGCTTCCTTGATGTTTTAACAAGAAACTTTTCAAAGAATATCTCAGCTCTTGGACTGGCCCAAAGCAGCTCAAGAGGTTGCTTTCATGAAGCTGATATTTATAAAGTTGGGCCTACTGTAGCAGCATACAGCAGATAAGCAATGGAGTATGTCTGATAATGGAGCTATATGCTGTGGCAATTCAGTTTCTGCTTCTGTGATAAAGTGCAAATAGATTAGACCTGTGAGGTCCTAGATTAGGGCTTAAGGAAAGCTCGCCAATGCAAATAAGCCTGGAACAAGAACACATTGTTGGGATTTCTGCAAGTTAGCTGTTAATCAAGTATTATGTGGTATATTAGGGCCTTTTAACACGTTTCTGACATTTAGCCTTGTGCAGCTGACAGATAAATTAGTCGTCTTTTGTGATTGACTGACAAAAAATGTATACTATTCATTAATAAGATGAAATAGTATTATGCTTAATTTATTCTAGAAGAAATCATTTAGGTAAATAAATCTTCAAGAAAGAAAAAATGCTGGGCAAAAAAAGTACTGCAACTGGAAGTCACTATTGTATAACTAGAAAAAAATATTATCAGAGGGACATAAATGCTCACAGTGGCTTCAGGAGGAATAGATTTGAAGCAAATCACATGCTTTTTACTTAGGCCCAGTTTAACATGCAATAGTAGACAAGTCCTATAGCAAGCATCTATACAGATTAATAACCCACATCTGCTTTTGATACTTGATCTTAACAGCTCATGTTATGTAATAAAATACATTGCATCATAGCTTACATTTGCTAAATAAACATTATGAAAAAGTTAGTTAATTTTTAAATATTTAAAAATAAGCAAATAAAAAATTAGATGTAGATTAGAATTCTAATATGTTTAATTGCACTTACACTGGGGGCTGCAATTAGCTCTCTAACAAGTGACCACAAACATTCCAAATAAGTAACAATCAATATGAGAAGCTGAATTTTTCTGTTGCTTGATTTGGCATTTAAATATTTTCAGGGAAATGTATACCCATTAAAATGAAATTCATTTCAGAGCAACCAAGTTTAAATAATTAGTTTAAAATAATAAAATATTTGGTTCATACAGAATCTTATTATCAGTTTTCAACTTGATACATGGCAATATTATGGCATTTAAATGAAAGGAGAGTGAATAAATGGGAGATCTTCAACAGGTTTAGTGAAAGGCAGGCATATAATAACTGAAAATACAAAGGGACAATTATGGAAAACTTCCCAGTCTTCTGTTTTCTAGTAACTAATTCCTTTGCTACGTAGCATTGAAGGAGGAACAGACTACCAGCAGAGGCAATGGACAGTTCTCAGCAGAGTTGCTGAGGTGTTCAGTGTGACAAAGGGATGAATTGTGAAAATGGGGGGGCGAGAAATAGAAGAAGAGAAACAACCAATGTTAGAGGTTGCAAAATCTAGAAAACGTCTTGTTCCACATAACCAAAGAGACTGGAGATTATCTAGTCCAACTAAGCTGCTCAAAGCAGGCTCAACTAGAGCAGTCTCCTCTGGATCTCATCCAATGGAGTTTTGAACATCTCCAAGGCTGGAGACTGCTCGGATGGAAATTACAGCCTTGAGTTTAGGCTCCTTTTAATGCATGTGAGTATGGGTTGTACAGCTGATGAAATGTTGTTTGTATTGTAATGCTTGTTGAGATATAATAACCACTGCTGAGAGTATATTGATATGGGCAAAGGTAAAATTTGTGTGTGTGTTGTGTGTGTATATATATACATATTTCTAGTGCCTGTGTTTTCATAGATATGGCAGTATAAGGAATCAGGGACAGAGGGAATTAGCGTGAGATCTCTCTTTCTAATAATATTAGGTTTCCATCAGTCTAGTCCAGTTGTAAGAAATAGTATTTTAAGTGATGAACCCTCTCTTAAAGTACTTTTTGAAGATTTCAAGCATAAGTACAAAACTACTTCAACAGAATATGTGAGTAGGCTGATGGTTCTACCTGAGCGACACCACTAGTAGTGTAGAGCTTTATCAGTTAGGATGTGTTTTTTTCCCCTGTAGGCTTAACTTTCCTAACTGATATTGCTTCCACTGCCTCCCTGATTATCACTTCAAACATAATGCTAGTAGTTTCCCTGATACTCTGCTTAAATATACCTATTCCAAATTCAAGCGCAATTATAATGGCTATTTTACCTGAAATGTTTATCTCTGATTAGCATTGGCATACTTCAAGTAGTGTGATATTGAAGAATGTAACCAAACCATGCTACTGCATCTGCTTTTTACAATTTACTGTTTGATTTCATCACCCAGTCCTTGACTGGGGATTTTCAACAACCCTGTGTAATAGTAACTTGAAGTCAGCAGAACATTTAAAATGTAGTTGAGTTTAAATTAGTAGGGGTACTAATAATTAGATGGGGAAAAAAATCTTCCTCTTTGTATAGTAAGTTGTATCAGGGTACTTTTGCTGTGTCTTGGACAATCATTTTTTTTTTGTCCTCTCAAAATATAATACATGTAAATTGTATGTTACTGATAGTTAGCAAGTGATTGATTTCTAATTAGATTTGGAGCCTTGAAAATGTCTTGTAACTGCTGTACAGGCTACTATAATTAAAAAACTAGAACACCAAAAAATATTTCATGCTGAGTAAACTGGTCGTGGTTTCCGTTTTGAACTTTTATCCTATACATTACTGAGATTAATATCTTTCCATATCTACCACAAGACTAAATATATTCATATCAGTATAGATATTTATTGAAGCTTCTGTACTATGTTACTTTTAGCAACCTTGATCTGATGCTTTTGAAATCAGGGGATATCTTGTATTGATTGTAGTACCAGTAACTCAGTCATCCTCTGTTTCTGAAAGTTGGTTTTTCTTAGTGCTACTTAATGTAAAGAAATTTTATTCTGTCTTGTCTTAAAATTATTCCCAACTTTTTCATTTTCCCATTCTTTCTCTTGTTAGGAAAGAATTATAGAGCGCTTGAAAGAGCAAAGGGAACGAGATGACAGAGAAAGAGTTGAAGAAATTGAATCATATAAAAAAGAAAACAAAGACCTCAAGGAGAAAGTTAATGCATTACAAGCTGAACTGACAGAAAAAGAGGTCAGTCTTTTCAGTAAAATTTATGTTCTTCTATCTATGTCATTATGATCAAGGAAAGTGCATTAGGATTACTCTTGAATCATTTTAAGTACTGAAATTCTGCCATTTCAGTGGTCAGCTTCTGAACTGCTGTTTTCTTAAACATTCTTCATAGTCCACACTCAGTTACATAAAATATTGCTTCAGCTTTTTGCATAGTTGTGTGTCATTATATCCATTTTTTTATTTCACATAAGCCTCCAGTAGGCTCACATATTCTGTAATGGCTCCTGTTTTCATCAGTTAGAACAATAGACTTCAAACTTGTCTGTGTTGTGACTGTTTCTGTGTTGCACAGCATGTCAGCTCCTATGGTTCCAGTTTGTTGTCTTCTCAAAATGGTGTATTTTGCTATCAGTGTGCATTTTTGTGTTAATTCTTTTTGGGAAAGGGGAGGGGGAACAGGATCCAAGTCATTACTAAACTGGCAATAAGTTAGTGTCTTGGTGCCTAGGAATTAACTTTTTACTCTTGATCATTTTCCAGTCTAGTTTAATCGATCTCAAAGAACATGCATCTTCATTGGCATCAGCAGGGCTGAAAAGAGACTCCAAACTTAAGTCTTTAGAAATAGCCATAGAACAAAAGAAAGAAGAGTGTAGTAAGTTGGAAGCACAGTTGAAAAAGGTAAGTTCCATCTTAAACAACAAACAACAATCAGAAAAACATCCCATACACTCATTTTGAAAAGATGAGCTTATTTACTCTTCTAGAGTAAATCTAAAATCTACCCATCTTATGCTGTTTGCTGATGCTTGCATCAAATACTGCTAATTTTTTCTTAAGAGGGTTGTACCAAAGCCACTAGTGATCCTCAGAAATTATTCTAAATAGCTGTATGAGGGAATTCTGAGAAGCTGCTACAAATAGATAAACTGGGAAAAGGACATTGGAGGGAAAGCAGAAGGGCAGAACAGAAGTATCAAACCAGCAATTTTTATGTGTATGAATTTATACTGCTATTAGAAGTAGACTGAAATGTTGGTAGTATGGGAAAAAATTTAAAGACTTGCACAAGAAATACTGTACTTTGTAATAAATAAAAACAAAACAAAAAAATCAGCTTCCAAAATGAAAACTTTAGCTAGGTTTTATTTTGGCATTTTTTTGGCTTTGTTGGTGAGCAAGTGTTTGAGACAATTAAACAAAACAATGCAGTTGATCTCAGCTAGTAATTCAGTATTTCTATTCAGCCAGTACTGGAAGCAAGCATTTAAAGAAAAAGACACAAATCCTATATTTTATAAAATTGTTGAAATTGGTGCATTAAATAGTTTTGCTTAAATGGTTTGCAAGTTTGTTGATGCTTTTTCAGCCATACATTGTTTCTTTGACCTTTTTCTGTGTCATTTGGGAATGTCTGCTCTCATTGTTTGAATCAAACTCATGACATTTGATGGGTTTAGGCAGTGTTTGCCTTCTGCAATTCATGACTACGTGTATGTCAAACATGATTTTTTTTTAAATTGATATGTAATATGTAATTTTCTAGAAAAAAAAATATTTGTCTATTCCATGAATGTTACCACTGCTGGGATAATATTCTGGCCCTCTTTTTACCCAGGTTGAGTAGTATCGTGCTCTGTGTTTAATCAGTATTTCAGTAGCCTTGCCTCTGAAGAAGGTACTGCAAAGTGTAAAGAATGCCAGATTGTAAACCTTATATTTCTCGTATTTTTTAATTTAAAACAAGTATGTGCAATTAGATGCCTATGCTATATGCTTAGTTGTAGAGGGGAAGGAAGGAAAGGAATCTTTTAAAATAAAAATATACATAAGCTTTTAATGGAAACACAACTACTTCAAATGTTGGACTGCTTAGAAATGCTTTTAATGTCAGAACTAGAATATCCAAAAAAGCTGTTTCTCTGAAAGTCCTTAATTTTTTCTTTTGTTAGAAAATGTTTGTTTGCTTTGCACTTCACTACAAAATATACTTCATTACAATCTGAAATATCTTATTTTCTTCATTTAAAAAAACTAGTTAAAAACATTTAAAAAACCTTAGAAGCAGAGATCACTTAAAAAAAAAATCAAAATCTTCTTGAAGTTCTTTAAATCCTGAGTCAATCTTTTATGACTGTACATATAAACACATCGTATGTTCATGGAAAAATAAGCACTCAGAAAAGTCAGAGAGTCTCTGGGACGTCTTTCATATAAAAAGGGAGTATGTTCCCTGTGATTATTGAATGAAAGTTGAAAACATAATAATTTTATTATATCATAAATACAGCATAAAGCCCCAATGAAAATTCACCAAACATTTGTAGGAGACCAGGTATTTCCACAATAAAATGTAGTTACAACCTTCTTTGTGGGCATGTTTAGCTGAACACAAACAGTGACTGTTAATGATAGTAGAGTCCAAACAGTAATTTTAAATTCACATTTTCTCTGATAAAATACTTTATGTTCAAACCTGTAAATATCCTGTATTAAAAGTAATTGGTCCCCAGGAATATACCTTTCACTCCTTAGGAAACTAACTGAAATGGGGATCTGAGTCATTCTTGCATATGTCTGAAGTTAGAGAGGAGGGAACATAAACTTAGTTTGGAGTAAATTAACCTGCATGTCCCATAAGTGTGCTCATGTTTGAGCATTAAGCACTACGGAAACAAGAAAGAATGGGCACAGTTTGTGTCTTTCAAAAGTGACTCCAAAGAGCTGGCTATTTTTTTTAGAAATTTGCATGCAGCTTATATGTTACTCTGCTCCAAAAACAACATAGAGATGGCAGTTTTCACTATGGCATTTTACAGTCATCACGGTTTAATGTTGATTTATATGTTTTACCTGATTATACTAATAAATATGAAGGTAGTCTTCTGTGCACTTTTTTTAGAGTTAGTTTTCCATGGCCAATAATATTAATAAGAACTGTTCCTGAAAGAAAAAGTGTACAATGGGCAAAGTCAAACCCTGTAGATTATTTATATATATAAAAAAAAGATTTTAAAAGTTTGTCTTACCTCATTTCTTCTCCTTCCTGTTTTTGGAGAGAATAAAATTCATTTATTGATAATAAAGACACATTTTTGTATTATTTGGTCTGGTAGGTCAACATATTTTTCAGTATTAGTTAACTGGATTGTTTTGTATTTCAGCTGGAGAAAATGTGCTTATTCTAAAACCACTGTTTTAATTTTAATTACAGTGGGCATGTTTCATAAAGTAATAAGTAGGATATTTTTAAGGGGCAATTATTGATGTGACTGTGCTATATTTTGGGACATTAAATAATATTTTGAACCATAAACATGCTTATTAATGTTTTTGCAAAAAAGATTATGGATTGAAATTCTAAAAACTAAAAAAATCATAACATGCACAATATAATGTTAAAATTCCAGACTTTTGTTGACTTTTTTGTATTCTAGTGAAAGAACAGCAGG